GATGAATAAATTATAACTAAATAACTCATTATTTCAAATCACAACTCAATGTTACTGTATGTTACTATTTATTATGGCATGTTTTAAGGTTTTTTTGTAAGGATAAACCCTGAAGAGGGAACAAAATGTACCTCCAAGGTTGGGACAAGCAGAAAAACTGGGACCACTGTGAAGCGATTAACCCTCATGTCACAACTTTCCTCCAGCGGCTTATTGAATTTGAGTGGAGAACTTCAAATTAGGTAACTGTTTTTGCCATTTTTAGTGAATTTCTTGTATAATTTAAGTGATCAATGTGTTGTTACCTGTGTCTCCACAGATGATCCATGGCCCATGCTTGCTGGACATTTACACAAGATGAACAACAATGAAGACAAGCTCTCTTGCCATCTTGCAAGACGCTGTCTCTGTCCAATAGGTTTTTTTGAGTGCAACAGTTTTGATTTTTTTTTCCTTCTTTACCCGTTTGTTAAAAATTATTTCAGCTACTTACACTTTAATTGTCACATGTATTGGCTCACCCTACAAATCAATGAACTCAGTCCACAAAGCAAGATCAGGGTTCAGTGCAGGTCAGTCAAGTTCCTTCACACCACACACGCTCATCCATGTCCTTGTGGACCCTGTTTTGTGCATTGATTTGGTGGTGTGAGCCAGTATTTTGGACAAAGTGTATATAAAGGCAGACGGGACTTGATATTATATTCATTACAATTCAGTTTATTTGTATGGTGCCAACAAAATGAATGCCAAGGCACTTCACATTGTAGGTTTAAGACCCTACAAAATATAACTAAGAAAACCCAACACTTGAGCATATGTTGTCTGCCATGATATGGATATGACAAAATATCGTTATTGTTTGTACAACCAGCTGAGAAAATAATGGATTACATAGTTTAGTAAAAACAAGTGCTTCCTCAATGAAAATATGTTTTTAATTCTTTTCAGTTTTTGATTTTGGAAATGTGTATTTCTGCAGGGAAAAATCAGAACTGAAATAAAGTGGTGTAAAGCACATGAATTGTATTTTGTGTGTGTGTGTGTCTATCTATCCATCCAATTTTTTTGGAACTCTCCAGTCTCTTACAGTATGTTACTGTTAACTGAAATTACGGTCAATTACGACCTGTTAAACAGTAAATGACCGTCTGTTGGGACACGGTGTCCTCTAGCAGAGATGAATATTTTTGGTACTGATGATGCATGATAACGGTAAGCTACTAGTAAATATATTGCAGTTTATTACCTTGCAGTTACAGTGACATACCGTGAATAAACGGTAGTATACCAATTTCTAAATCACAGTATGATGTTACTTTGTTGACGTAATTTACGACATAACGGTATCTCACTGGCGACAGTGACGCCAGTGAGATACCGTAAAAAAGGCTACGGTGCGTTACCATAATTTGTCCAAGAGTATTATACCACACCAGCAAAAAACGGTATCATCCTGCAGAACGGTAAGCTACCGTAACACGGCGTTACGGTATGACGCTGGCAACAGTGACGCCAATATGTTACCCTAAAGTAGCGATGAAAAGTCTAACAGTGTGGTTATTTCAAATTGGCCATAAGTGTGAATGTTTCTCTGTGTTAAGGTATACTGCAAACCTGTGTTGTACGTAGGTGTACCCTGCCTTTTCATCCTATGATAGCTATGATAGGTTCCAGCCCCCCTGCAACCCTGAAGTAGATACATAGATGAAAACTACCTGCAATACTGTCTTTGACCTACTTTGTTCTTGCACCTCATAAATCTCAATTTATCCCAACAGTTACATACTGTAATGTAATCTCTTCATGCTCCACGATAAACTCCAGTAACCAAGACTACAACATTACCATTCAAACACTTGCTTGCAGCATCATTCCTGCAGAATATATTACAGTTTTGTTGCACTAAAACCAAAGCAACATATTTGTGTTAGACCAGTAGAGCAACAAATCTAATGCTTTTAGCAAAGAGCGCACTTCAATCTTAAATGCTAATATCGCTTGCCGTTATTTTGCTTGTAGCATTAATGCCAGAACAGTGCTGGGATACAGTTTCCATACAGTGTTAGTACCTTGCAGTCGTTGAAGCCCTCACCAAAGAGCAGGATCTCAGCAATTAGAGTAGAGTCAGGCACCACCATTGATATAGGTCTGAACATGGACTTCAGGTTGTCAGGAAGCTCAGTACGACCAGCATAACCTGAGGAAAAGAAAATAAAGCGAGAAAATAGATTAGATTTGGATAAAACAGATCTTCATGTACAGGTTCCCTCTTCTGTCAACTCTTGCTCTATAGGTTAATGTTCTTCTCTTGGCTCTTGACGGAGGTGGTCAAACTTTCTCCCTCTCCCTTATCTTTCCTGCTTGGCTTCTCATGTCTTTTGTGTAGTCTGGCTTATTCTCTAACCCTAAGAGAGTCTCCCAGACTTGTTCTCTAAAAACCTAAAGAAGAATTATGGATTTGATCAACTGGTCCCTTAATGAAACTGACAACTCCTGCGCCTGGGAGAGCCTGATTGTCCTGAGGAGAGGTTTGCTGCTGGATACTCGATGGTCGGTTGCGTCGCGTGTCTGGGGACACTCTTGATGGAGGACATTGAACGACCTACCAATTCAGAACCACGATAACAGAGTTCTGGCTGATTGGAGCTGGCTCGGACCTGGCTTATCGAAGAACAAGAAGCAGCTACAGCTGTTCAAAATTCCACAAGGCTGGCCGACATGATAGACGATGGGCAGGGCTGTGAGTACTCAGACTGTGTTTTTTGAACACAGTATGGTTAAGATCTTGGAGAAGCTCATGGCTCTGCTATATGGATAACATCTTGGAGTGGAACAATGGGAATTGAGAGACCTGGTGACCAGTGACGGACATTAGACCAACTGTAAAATTGGATGCAGTTTGTTCGCACTAACCAAAACAGCTACCATCTTCATCTCATGCGGCCCCCCTGACATCAGCTGGATGCTCAAGGTAAAAGCTGACGGGAATAATAAAATTCTCCCTTAGATAACAAGACTGTGCTGTGACTTTCTCCCTCCTCATTCAAGGCCACCCGCGTCGACCGAAGACTGTTGACTTTTGCCTAACCGGGTGAAGGGACACTTTCTCTCGGCTGAACACGGAACACACACACACTCACACGCACACATATGCATGTACACTGACACAGACCTACCCCCCCTCCAAACACCTTCGAAGCTTATGTCTTCTATGTAGTGAGATATGATGATTCATGTGCTGAGGTGGTTTTTTTCTGTTCTCAAACTGATCCCCCTGTTGGAGCTCAGTCTGTGGGGAGTTCTTTTTTCTCCTCGTCTTTCCTCGTGTTGTGCATTTTCCATTGTTATACCTCTCTGACCTGTCTTCCCCATGTGATGTTGTAATGTATGTATGGTTGGAAGGGTAAGATGGCGCTGGCGAAGGTCGGTAGCCTTAACCCAACAAAAATGGGACTAATAAAGGTTATCTTATCTTATCTTATAAACATATGGTGACAATTGCACAATTTTGTTGACCTACCGGGATTCATGGTGATAAAGATGCCACATGACGAGACCAGACGGATGTGTTGTCCCTCAAAATAGAACTTGGACTGCAGAGCTGTGAGAGCAGACAGGATGGAAAGGATCTGCTGGGCCACCACTGACAACACTTCAATGTTGATACGATTGAACTCATCAAAACACCCCCATGCTCCTGTCTATTTGAGGTGGACATAATGAAATACACACAAATTTGAAATCAGATTATGTAGATTATGTTTTTTCCTTAGCTGACATGCAAAACCTTTGGCCTGCCTAAGGGTCAATGCCACAAAAAGAAAACGCTATTCAGAATTTACTGAAGCCAAAAAGGTTTCAGCTAGATACTTTTCATACAGTCATGTACTAGATACAGCATCACAGCTGGTAATTACTCAAGGCATGAAAAGCATTAATGTACCAATTTTTACAGTTATTGTGGTCACCTGATATAATCATCTCTACTACTCCCTACCTGAGCCAGGCCAGAGTACATGCGTCCCATGGACTTGTAGTCCAGTCCTTCAGAGCAGTTGACTACGATGACATACATGCCTAGAGCTTTTCCTAAGTCCTTTACTGTCTCTGTCTTTCCAGTACCAGCTGGGCCTTTAGGAGAGCCTCCACGGTGGAGATGAAGTGCTGTGGTCAGTGTCATGTAACACCTGAAGTAAAACACTGACATTTACTTTACAGACAAATAAAAATGTAGTAATATAAGTATTAAACACATACTGGAACTATTGTGCAACATGGTAGTAATATTATTGTAACACACACAAGATGCAAAATCATGAAAAAAAAAAGCTTTCAAAAAATGTCACTCAGAAGTCAAAATTTCAAGAAATTTGGTCAGTGAGTCAAAATTTGAGCTACATAAAGTAGTATAAAAGAAATTGTGAGATAATAATTCAAAATCTCAGGTTACGTCTGCCGGGCCAGTGGCAAAAACAAGCTTCCATACGAAATGGAATCATGGTGTTTCTTACTTAATATGTACACTATATTGTCAAAATTATTCACTAACCCATCCAAATCATTGAATTCATGTGTTCCAATCACTTTAATGGCCACAGGTGTATAAAATCAAGTAACTAGGCATACAGACGGTTTCTACAAAGATTGGTGAAAGAGTGGAGTGCAGCCAATTCAGTCACTTAGTTGCAGTGAAAGAAACTCTTAATGCTTCAGCACCAACATTTTGGACAAGTTCATGCTCGAAATTTGTGGGAACAGTTTGGGGACAGCCCCTTCCTGTTCAGCCATGACTGCACACCAGTGCATAAAGCAAAGTCCATAAAGACATAGCTGAGTGAGTGTGGTGTGGAAGAACCTGACTGGCCTGCACAGAGTCCTGACCTCAACCTGACAGAAAAGCTGTGAGCCAGGCCTACTCATCCAACATCAGTGTTTGACCTCACAAATGCGCTTCTAGAACTGGGGTGGGCAATTCCAGGCCCCAAGGGCCGGTGTCCCTGCAGGTTTTAGATGTGTCCTTGAACCAACACAGCTGATTTAAATGGCTAAATTAGCTCCTCAACGTGTCCTGAAGTTCTCCAGAGGCCTGGTAACAAACTAATCATGTGATTCAGGTGTGTTGACCCAAGGTGAGATCTAAAACCTGCAGGACACCGGCCCTCGGGGCCTGGAATTGCCCACCCCTGTTCTAGAAGAATCGTCAGAAATGATCAGTCTTAGTAGTCAAACCACAGCCATCTTTAAACGTGAATTTTATTTTTGTCTTGATAACCTGTAAAATCTTGTGACTGTCTTGTATAATCTGTACTTAAGGACTTGTAAGGACATATGACCGAAATGCACCACATAGCTGTGCTGTGGTTTTGTCTACAGTCACATGCAAAAATAGCACTCAGAGACCATCTTGACAAACAGAATGTCTTCCATTTTATTTTTCACACACAGTCTAGTGACTATCCAAGAACTCGTTTATGTGCATCTCTCTGTCAGCCAATGAAAAGAACAGATGGAAAGACGTGTACCTGTAGTGGGAGAACACAACCTCGGCATATCATAGATCTGATCATTGAATGTAGAAAACAGAAAACTTTTACACAGCCACTGTACCTGATGCTCAGCAAGGGTCAGGGAACAGTGCTGTGAGCACTAGTTATCATTTCCAAAGCATCCAAGTTGAATTGCTATATATCTTCCATATTTTTACAAATATTAGCCAAATAAAAAAACAGAACACGTAATGCTAAACAAAAAACAAATATTTGAAGAAGTGAAAATTTGACTCCAGCCCACTTTTTGACAAACACTTTAGTGCCAGCGTGTGCTACAGTAGGTTTTTTTCTAGGACCAAAAAGATGCCCAAGGTGAAAATCATTACACTCTGGATGTCTGTGTGTGCATTAACTGAGTAATACGATGTCACCTGTCAGTAAGCGGAGTAATGACGAGCCGTCCCGAGTTGCCCAGGTACTCATATCCATAGTTGAACTCTGTGTTGGTCTGTCGGATTATACAATTCA